AAGATAGCTTTGATTGTGTCACAAGCAGAAATGTCTGACTCCCTGACAAGGTCAAGGTCACTTCACTCCAAACTCATTTGAGGGTTCAGTGAAGCAATTCCCATTTTGACATACCAGCATTTTAATGTTACACATACCCCACCCTAAGTAGTTAAATGTTAAAGATCAGTGGTTTGCCTCTCAGGCTATGAAGGCAGCCTCTTTGCCTCCAAAGGGCAACCTACAGAGTCTTAACTGCAAAATCATCTACAGACACTCCAGCAGGTCACCAGCTTAATTTTTAGAAAGCTCTCCACCACCCCAGGATGTCTGATTATACTTGGATCCTTATCAAACTAATGTCCATATAGATATCTGTCTTATCACTTTACAAGGAGATTTGTTTTAATACACAATTTGCTTACCCATTAAGGAGGCTAAATTTACATTATTTATTATAGTTATATTACATTATATTTACATTTATATTAACTATATGTATTAACTCAGTTATCACAAAGAGAGTAAACTTGTTATAAGTTAAAAATTCATTATTTGCTCAAGAATTTTTAACCTCCTAAGATGTTAAAGGAACTTAAAGAAAGTTTAACTTCAATCTGCAATCCAGGCTTGTTAAATATCACTGCTAAACTAAACCAAGCCAAACCAGCTAACCAACCAACCACCAACAACCTAAAAACCTTCCCAGCATCCACAAGTACACCCAGCTCTTTTGCTTCCGACACAGCTTTGACATTGGTGCTGGGCAACTTAGTAGTCAGGCTCTCCTAGGCAACAAGCATCTGGATTATTCCATTCATTTTAGTCTAAATCTGCAGGACACAGTAAGTAGCTTGTGGATAGGCAGAGAGGGCATTCTCACATCGGATGCTTAAACACTGGCTTTTGTGGCAGGTGCATACCTAGGCCATGTAAATGCTGGCATGGCGGCCCGTGTATATATTAGAGATAGACATTAATACATATATATGGGAATGTTACATAAAACAGTGACTCATACTAAGAGTACAACAATAACTTTGGGGTACAATATGACAATATCTATCAAAATTACAAATGTGCATATCCTTTGATTCAATAATTCTAATTCTAGAAATTCATTCTTCAGATATAGTCAAACATGTGTGCAAACCTATATGTACAAAGATGTCATTTGTAGTCATGTTTGTAATGGCAAAAGTTGAAAAAGAAACCCCAAATTTCCATTCTTATTCACACACACACTCTAATAACATTTATTATTTGCTTACCTTGTTCCAGACATTGTGACCAGTGATATTCACCTATCTGCTTATGTATCTATATATTTATGATATTTAATGTATTTATATATGCATATGGATACACATATATATATTAAAATATCCTCTTTGGATGACTGCATTTTCATTTCTCGTCTGGATGGTGTTACGTAACACAGTGTGGAACAGCCCTAGTGTGTGCTGCTAAGAAGGAGAAACAAGGCTTTTATTTCCAGCATGTTTACACAATTATTTGAAGCTCTTCAAGACCTTACATTTGCTAAGTCTCCTACAACACCTCTCTGGCCTTCAACATAGGATTCCCTCCCTGACACAGGAGCCCTGGTGAAATGACTGACTCTGTCTAGAAGTTTCCAGAGAACCAGTTCCCAGGGGAGCCGAGGCAGAGCAGACATGTTCCCTAAGGTTTGTCAGCCCTTCACAGCAGCCCTTCCCTGGGAAGACCCAGCCCATCTACAGCTGCATCAAGGACTATGACTTCCAACAAGATCTATAACATTTTGTGGTTTGTCAGCTTTATAAAATGCTAGATTTACTGAACTTTAGATTAAAGTGATAGATTCATGTTGATGTTTTCAGGCCCCTGGGTATCCCAACAGATGAGTTGGGGGATTCTATGAACTCTCAGAAATTGTGAATGTGTGCATGTACATATATGTATATTATATTATATATTAATTATAATGTATGCATTAATTACCTTTTTTATATATTAATTATATGTGATATATAACATATATAAGTAACTGGATTCTCAAGTGAATTGTTAACATCCTACCAAAACAAAATTAGAAATCACTGGTTTAGAGATTCAAGTCTCCACTTTAGGATAAATTTAAATGGCATTCATAATGCACTTAACTTACTTTGTGTAAAGTATAATACTCTGAGATTCTAAGTGCATTTTTTAGACTTATAAGGTGTCACAATTATTTACAGGAATAAATGGCTTTTAACTAGTCCTGGATTAGCTGTTTTTGTAAATAAAGCCTTTAGAATGACAAACAGTGATATTACCAATATTATACATTACAGATCATCTGAAGGGGATTTCAGGAGATAGAAATCTTCAGATGACTCAAATTAAAACTGAAAATGCTTACCAAGTATCCTACTGTGTGGTAGTGTGTCACACAATTCTACCACTCATTCAGATGAGGTCCTCACAACACTCCAGGTTGGAGAAGAGCACGCTGTGTAGGGTGATAAGGGGGACGACAGGTTCCAGGACCAGACGGCCCGGGTTCAAGTCCTAGTTTCATCACTTCGTAGTGATGTGACCTCAAGCAAGTTACTTCTTCACCTCCCCAAATGTAGTTTCCCAATAAAGACAGGGGTGATAACAATACTTACTCCATAGGTTTGTTGCAGTGATTTAATGAATGAAACCAAGTACCCAGTACATAATAAATGGTAGCCGTTACTGTTATCTTACATCTCAAATGACACATATTTTTGTACACTATAAAAATAAGCCAAAGGTCACCATGTAGGATTCACTGATGGCAAACCTACGATGGGGCCTAATTCTATGTGATGGATTTGTTCGTGACCAATACAGATGACTAGATGGCCAGATTTGTAATGACTCATTAGTTTGTTTACTTCAGAAATAGAAACACAGCTTTAACAGACAAGTTTCAGGCAAAAGGATGTAACTTCCTAGGGAAATCATAAAAGAACTTGAAATGAAAGGAAAAGCTGTCTTTCCCCTTAAGAAGCAGGATATTCTGTGGCTTAGTGAATGTAATAATTTGGCCAGACAGAGAAAGTTAGATGGTCCTGGAAGAGCTGATTTACATCTGGTCTGGAGGCAAAATGCCTTCAATTCCACCTTCTTTAAGCACTTCGTCTACTGGCTGACTTAGGAGAATTTCTAACTGGGCTGACCACGTCGGGTTTCCTGGGACCTCCCTAAACAGACCTTACACAAAACCCTGTGCAAGTCTAGCAACACTAGATGTAATCTCCCTTTTCAAAGGATCTTATTTCACTTATTTTAAAATTCCTCACATCTTGTACTCTAAAGTTTCTCAAGTTTGATGAATTGAATTGAGATTCCTCTACCCAAGTGGAATGGGAAGACTTGGTCTGTACGACTCCCTAAATGGTTCACTTCTGGCTGTAATGGAGCTGTGACTGCATTTAAGGGACCCATTTCAGCCTGTGCTACTCCAAGGAAACCCTCAGAGTTTATAAGGACTGGTTACAATGCAAGAGTTTAGAATTTCTTCTATTTATCCCCCATTTCTGGGAGTGTTTCCTTCTAGGACCTCCTAGATCCTAATCCAAATCATATCTTTAAACCTCAGAAATCTCTAGAATTCCTTAAGATAGGGCTATTTGGATTAGGATTTTCAGAGATTCATGACAGGTCATTTAAAGGCATGCCGTATGGCGATTTCTCCCGCCACAAAGATCAAAGTATCCCCCACAACCCTTTCTCAAACATACATGCCATTTTTTCCCCTTGTATTGAGCCCAGGACTAGCTTTAGACAAATCCCCAAAGTACATTTCCATTCCCTCACACTTTTGGTTCTGTTTTTATGGGTGACTTTCTATTGCTGATCACGATGGGGAAGCAGAGTTTTACATGTTTGCACAATGCTTTAAAATTTTCCAGCTCTTTCACTTAGGCTATTTTTCTTAACACCACAAAACTCCAGTAGGTGGGCACTAGCAGCCTTATTATAGAACTGAGGACACCGAGGCCCAGAGATGTTGAAAGTGTCCGGAGTTCCAAAGCAAGTGTCAAATAGTTAAAAGAGTCAAATAGTGTGGGGGTTTATGTCCTGCCCTAGCTCCTCACACCTGTTTCCTCTGATACCCATAGTAATCACACAATAATGTTAGCTACTGAAACTGTTAGAGGCTTTAATCTGAGTGCTCTCAGTCTTGTCCACAAAGTAATTGGTGGGGTACAGCTGCATTTTGGAACCTGACAGATTGAGCCTGATTCTCACCTCCATCACTTAATCATTGTGAGACCTTGAACATTCTACTAATCATCTGTAAAACAGAGTAATATCTACTCATGGGTTGTCAGAAGGAGTAAAGGAAAGTAACACATCTATCCCAGTGCCTGGCCCACTGAAGGCACTCAGTAAAGAGCAGGTACAGGTCAGTCATTTGCAGCAGGTGAACTGTATTTTCCTACTCACCCATCTGGGTCTCCCTCTTCTAGGCCATTTGTATCCTAAAAACCTATTCCAGCCCCTCTACTTTCAAGAATCCTTTAAAAGTTTCCCAAGGTTAGTATGCATATGAATCACCTAGGTATTTTAAGATGCAGATACTGATTTAGTAAGTCTGGGGTGGACTTGCAGTTCTAAAAGGTTCTCAGGTGATACCAATCTTGCCAGTCCATGGACCATCAATCTCTGAGTAGAGAGAACGTACCCTGGAAAGCTGGACTGAAGGATAAGGTCCTTCAGGACCAGTGGCTCTCAAACTTCATCATAATCACATGGAGGGCTTCACCCCAGAGTTTCTGAGGTGGGATCGTAAGATGCCATTTCTAACAAGTTCCCAAGTGATGTTGATGCTGCTGGTCCAGGGACTAGGCTTTCCAGGCTTAGCAGGGGGCTACTGAAATCAGAAGTGGGGTTCGGCTCCAATGATTACATACATTTAGGAGGGGATAGATCTTCTTGAGTAAGCTCCCCTCAGAGGCTCTCCCCTCTCCCCCTTCCTAACCAGGCACCCTCCCGTCGTGATGTTAGCAGGCACCCTTTACCTTGTAGACATTGATGGGTATGTCAATGATGATGTGCAGCAGGTCTCCCAGGGCCAGGCTGGCTATCAAAATATTAGGGCCGTTTCTCATGCACTTGTTCTTGTAAATGATTCTCAGCAGTGTGGAGTTACCAATGATGCCCAGCACGAACACCAGGCAGGATATCACAGTGTTGATGTATCTAAAAGTCTCCTTGATCTCGATGGATCCTTCGCACTGGGGAGGGGTGAGGGTTCGTGGTGGAGTTCCCGCCATCTTCCCTCCTTTAATCTGCGGAGGTGCGGACGACCTTGGCATGCTGGCGTTGGACCCCCTGGGCCAGGAGGTCTTAGTGGGGGGTTCCATTATCTCTCCAGTCCCCAGAAGTGGCAGGGTGGTCGGCGGGAATCCCCTCTCTTCTGCCTGGACCCCTGCCACGCCGCAGGCAAGTATCAGCGCCACCAGGGCGCGTCCGCGCAGGCTGGGCAGCGGCTGCATGCTGCTGCCTGCTCCAGTGGGCGTCGGGTGGCCGCTCCTCAGCTTTCTGAGTCTGGAGAGCGGCAAGGGAAGGAAGACGGGACACTTGGGTCAGCTACCCCAGCCACGCCCCTGCAAACTGCTAGCGCAGCGCGCAGCCGCGCCCCCACTATCCGTGCGCAGAAGTAACTCAAGTTTGCGCGCCAGTGGGGAACTCCGGCGCGCGCGACCCGCCTGCGCGCCTCGGCTGTCTTTCCGGAACCAAGTTTCGCTGTTTTTTTCTCCTGCGTCCCCGGAGGGGTAAATGACTCCCAGTGGGGCTGGGATATTCTGGAAGAGGATGGGGTCCAAAGCAAAGCTTTAAGCTCCTGGGATGCCCTGAGGGAGACGAGTACGTTCTGGCTAAGGGCGCGTGGGAAGCGGGGAAACAAGGCATCTAGAGGCCAGGGGCATGCACCAATCTGAATTTTACTCCGCGGGAACCCGGGGTACCCGGTGTCTGGACGCCAGGACTCCTCCCCATGGGTGAAAGCTGCTGCTTCCCGGCTGCCTGCGCTCGGGTTTCCCCGGCGCTCCCAGGAGTGCCGGCTGCCTCGGAAAACCTCGGACACTTCTCAACTCGGCCCGATTGAGATAGTATCTGCATTAACTCGTAAGCTTCTGTCCCCTCCAAGTGGATTCAAACACACGCGCTCCCCGTCACTCTAACGCCACTTTAATTCCCTGTATCTAAACGGTTTGTTTGAAAAAAACAAAACAAAACAAAACAAAACCCCAAACTAGTAATCCAAGCTGAAGCCCCAGGATAAGGTTCAATCACTGATTTTAATTCAACACCAAGCCAGAACATTTACCTCGCGGACCGGACGCAGCAGGCGCAGAGCGACCAGCGGGGACCTCCTTCCCGGGACGCGCTTGGCTAGCAACTGGGTTCCAGGCTACCCGGGAACAGAGCACGCCTCTCTTCAGCTGCAGGCTGGTCTGGCTCTGACGAAACGCTGAGGGAATGCCTGACCGTGTAGCCTCCGCAGCTTGCTCGGGGTCGTTGTTGTCCCTAGACAAGTACTTTTATTCATTCGTCCCGTCCCTATCAATCACCGCCAGACTCCTCCCGCCCCTTGCGACCGCGCGGCAACCTTTCGCCTCGGGCGACGCCTGGTCAGCATCAGCAGGACCTGCCCGCCGCTGCAGAGGGCAGTCCTCGGCCAGGGACGCGTCCTGGGAGGCTGTGAGTTTGTCACGGCTGTAAGTTCTTCAAATGACGAGCCTAAACCAAGAGCAAGTTTTCACGCACTCAGCCATGCGCTGGGGCTATAGGTTAGAACGTGTTAACCTGAACTTTTAATGCCCGCTAGGACTTTTCTTTCTGTTAAGTATCCCGCCGTGATACCTAAGACTTGTTTAGTTTTTGTTTTGTTTTTCCAGAATGGGGGGCGCTACTCTTTGCTCTGTTTTCGAGCCTAAGTTTCAAGTCCGCGTCGGTCCCCACCCACATGGAAGAGCAGGATCCATCCTTCTCAAGCCCTGCCAGTGCCCTAGGAGAGAACTAAAATTCCCTCCTCATGTTCTCCAGCGGTTTTTCTCCTCCTTTCCTGCTATGTCTTGAAGTGTTATTGTCAGGCTATCTCTGGCTTTTTATTAACTGTCGAGGGGTCTGACACCTATAGGGGGCGTGGGAATAATCAGAGCTGCATTCGAATTTAGGATATTTATTTATCAGGCAGAGCCATATAATAAATTCTTCCTGTCCATTCTTGAATTCAGTTTTTAAGGGATAGAAAGAAATAATACTGACTGACAGTCTTGCCCGAGGATTGTATAAAACAGAAGGTAGAAATTCAGGCTGTGCGATATACACTGGATATTACTCTGTTGTCTTCCAATCAGCTAAATCCCCATTGGATCTGTGAAATTTCGGATCCAAGAGGAGCCATACATCATAGCAATTCACCTAGAGACTGCGTGGCTCATTCTTGGTTTCCCAGCTAGCTAGTGACATAGGTGGGACAAGAATCTTGGATTTGGGGGCTTCTGTGCAGGGCTTTCTGGGAGTCAAAGTAGAAAATCAATTTGCATTTGAAAAGATGAACTGAAAATGTGAAATATGGTCTAAAGAACATGATTAAGGAATAATGCTAAGGGAATGAGCAATATGGTCTAGGGTTGTGAGTGCTAATTCCAGATCTGGCTGTTTTGAGCAGAGTACTCATCCTCCCTGTCTTGATAAAAACAAGGTCAACATTCAGTTGCATCAAATAGCCAAGTAGCAATATAGGTTGTGATGTGAATGAGGAATTATATGGATGCATTTGGGGTAGGGATATTTTGCTTAGTTTTGAACCTGTTCTTCCCTTCAGACACAGAGCCCTAGAGATGGCCACTTTCTCTTCCCTCCCAGTGATTGTCCCATCTTCGATCCCACCTTCATTCATATTTCTGCCACCCAGCCCTGGATGTCTATTCTAAGCCTCAGTGAGATCTGTCTCTTCCCCTTTTTCCCTAGCACTTTAAGACAGCTAAACACAACCGAGCACTTGATCATTTTTTATAGCTCAATATTGACTTTGTGGGTATTAATTTTTCAGGACAGGACAGAGTGGTAGCTTCTTTCTGGACCATCACGATATACCTACAAGTTGAGCTCAAGAAATAATTTTTATAGATTTGATAATTACATTTTAGGTTATTTAATTGAATTCTGTTTCAGTAAGTCTAGTCACAGGTCTCCCGGTCAAAGCCAAATAATTTTGAGGTATACATCCACATTCCTCATCTAGAATTTAAAATACAATATTGACTACCTATTACAGGATCTCCTTGGCACCTCATCCATGGAGTCTTTTTTCCACCCTCACCACAGTTTTGGGGTGAGGAATTATTTTTCATGATTTTATAGGTAGTGAAATGGAGCTTTAGAAGTGCAGTCAAGGTCATATGTGGACCTATGATTTGGAGCTAGGATTTGAATCCAGGCCTGTCTGGTTACACAGACTGTGCTTTTGATTAATTACAGAGAATCTAAACAGATTTTTTTTATTATTATAAGAAAGCAGTGTTTTAGACATCAGAATATTTAATTGAAGTTTAACCTCACATTGAGGGAAAATATAAAGGAAACCATGTAAAAGAGTCCTTATTTGATACCCATGAGTGACCTTAATCAAGTCACAAGAAATTGAGTCTCAATTTTGTAAAACGGAGGGAAAGGATTAGATCTTTAAAGCCGTTTCACTCTAGTGCATCAGTTTGACAGACTACCTGATCCTGTAAGCGTGTCCTGAAAAGCAGAAAAATGAGAAGAGATCTTATGCCAGACCTTATTTTCCTTCTTTTTACTTTCTCTACTCTTGCCTGGGGCAGTACTACTATAGATACAAGGGATTTTTTTTTCATCTGATGACTTAAAAGCCTTTATTGAGAAACTTCATAAATTCACCAGTAGTTAAAGTGCTGTATAAACTTCATTTGTAAATAGGAGCAAAAAGTTGGATCAAGTTTTAATAATCCTTTCCTGAAAACTTCTGGATTTGAACTAATTTTACGGTTAGCATTCATGAAGGATTTTTTTTTTGATTTAGTAAATGTGGAATCTTTTATAAAGTCCCTTTTATGAAGACTCTTTCTGAAGTGTCCTCAGAAGTGTATCAAAATCTTAGATTGACTAAGATCACCCATCAAAGACAGAGAGAGTGGTGAGGAACAATGTCCCACTATCCTTTTTAAATGCTTGAACTAGACGGTCCTGAAGACATGATTGAATGCACTTCAGAATTCATTTCTCAAAGATGTTTGCCATGGGGAGCTTGCCCAAAGCAAACCTTTTCCCCTGGTAAGAGAACAAAGAAAAGCCCTTTTAGTCACAAGAAAAGCTAATACTTTCATGTAATCCCCTTGATATGAATGTACCCTTCAGAATCTACCTTGCATTCTCTAAATCATGAATGCTGGGGAACAAGGTGTGTGAGAAATACAGAAAGAGTTAGTTCAATTGCCTCGCAGCACATTTCCCCTAGGAACAGATCCAGTGATCACATAGTGGTTGAAGTAAGAGCAGACAGAAGTTTTAAGGTGACGGCACAAATCAATAGTAAACAGCCTGAACCTTTCTATTTTTGGACTTTTATATTAAATGACGGTACCTATTTGGGACTTATGGTCGAGAATGCTTTTTTTTTAAATTTCTTTTACAATTGAGGTATAATTTCTATATAGCTAAGTGGACACAGTGTAAGTGCATAGTTTGCACATTTTGCAGAGTTTTGACAAATGCATGCCTCCCTGTGACCCATGCTTAACAGGGATTTTTGAAAATGCATTTATTCTTCTAAAGTAGCAAAACCTTGAATATTTTGGATTTGAACACTATTCCTATTAAAATTCTTATTTAAGCATTATTTCTGCTCTATTTACTGATTTTATACATGCTATCAGTTTCTGTAACTGAAACGTGATTCATAAGTTAAAGGTGTGCTTATAATTGAGAAGATCTAAGATTTTAAAATTTATTGATGATGACTTGATAGTATGCCTACAGTAATGAAAATTTGATAAGCTTATAGACAATAGAAATAAGACACCATTAGTTCTTTTCTGCTTATAGAAAATATGAGAAGTAAGAAGGCCATACTTCCTTTTTTTTTTTTTCTGTTCAGGAAAAGCACAGTTCAGCTACGTCAGGCTATCATCTAATTAAAGGATTTAATTAAAGGATTTGCTTTCCTGCTTATGGCTTAAGTCATTTTTATATTTCTTTGATGTATTTTTTTTTGATACCAGAGTCAGTAAAAGAAAAAAAATGAGTATAACCTGGTCTACAAACTTCTTAAAACTGTTCACAAGAACTACTTGGCACAACTTAAAAATGTATTAGAAATTCCTTCTAGTCAGGCCGTGCAACCTGGGCTTTCTGGGTTTGCCAGTACACACTTGACATTTACAATTACAATTCTTAGGCCATTCAATCATGGACAAAACACTACCATTCCTTGATATTAGAATAATTCCATCATCTGCAAGGCACTTCTTTGGAGGGCTGTTACTTCATTGGGATATAATTTATGATAAGTTTTTGGATCATTTCCTCTGTTGACTTTCACCTTCCCTTATTTCTGTTCTTTTAATATTCTCATAGTGTGTCCAAAAGGATGTGAAATAGTCAAAGGAAGTTAGGAAGAGAGGAGAGACAGAGACTTGAGGATTTAACAATTCACTGTCGAATAAAGGAGAATTGCTATTTTCTTAAAGAAAGGAAAAGTTCTTTGCAGTGCAAAATAGAGCATGCTAGGAGATGAGAAAAAGAATTTCCACAGCAGGGTTTTTTTTTAAATTGTGTTTAGTCAATGAGATATTTTTATTTCATTTCTGCTAATAATTAAGGTCTGGATTTTAATGAAAATCTTTTCAATCAAAACCCACTGACACCTTTCAAAAATTTCCTATTGGTTGAGATCTAGTTGTAGGAAAATAGAACAGCATGACTGAAATGTAAAGGGAAACAGTGGAGTTCCTGAAAGTACATTAGGTGAATAATTTGATCTCGAGCCCAAACTAAAATAAATATCTCAGAATTATAGCATTTTTGTTAAGGTGAGGGATTATCAGTGCTTTCAAAGATGTGCTCAATTTCCCAAGGCCATTTTTGGTCCTTAGACATGGATGTGCAGGGAATTGCCTTTTCTCTTTCAGGCCTGCTAGGAAGAACAGTTATTGCTACCTGTGGAAAAAGGAATTCTGAAATGATTTTATCAGCTGTGGATTACTTAAATGAAGTTGCTCACGTGCTCTCATAGGAGATGCACAGGAGACATACTTCCTTTCAGGGCTGCTGGTTGAGATGCAAGGCTGGCATCTGAGGGGCCACAGCAGAGGCAGTGGGTACCAAGTAGCAGGCAGGGAGACAGGCAGAATATAGCAACAGAGGATCTAGAGAGTAGTTCAGCCTTTGAAAATCTACATCTTTTTTTATTGTTATTAAAAAACACATAACAGACAGGGAGGGTATAGCTCAAGTGGTAGAGTGCATGCTTAGCATGCACAAGGTCCTGGATTCAATCGCCAGTACCTCCTCCAAAAATAAATAAATAATTAAACCTAACGATCTCCCCCTTCAAAACAAAAAAGCAAACAAACAAAAACACATAACATAAAATTTACCACCTTAATCATTTATAACTGTAACGGTTCATTAGTGTTAAGCATATCCCTGTTGTCCTACATCTCCAGTTTTCATCTTGCAAAACTGAAACTCTGTACCTTTTCTTTCTCCTCCCAGGCCCTGGTAGCCACCCTTCTGCTATTTCCGTGAATTTGACTACTTTAGATACATCAGGTAAGTGGAACCCCACAGTATTTGTCTTTTTGTGACTGGCTAATTTCACTTAGCTTAATGTCCTCGAGGTTCATCCATGTTGTAGCATAAGATAGGATTTCCTCTTCTTTTAAAGCTGAATAATATCCCATGATATCCACTGTATGTACATACCACACTTTGTGTATCCCTTCTTCTGTCCTTGGACAATGGGTTGCTTCCACCTCTTAGCTATTTTGAATAGCATTGCAATGGACATGTGCTGTAGACTGAATGTATGTGTGGCTCCAATATTCGTATGTTAAAACCTAATGCTTGGTGTGTTGATATTTCGAGATGTGGCTTTTGGGAGGTGGCAGCCTCATGAATGGAGTTAGTGCCCTTATAAACAGCTCTCAGAGAGCAGCCTCGCCCCTTCTGCCATGCAAGGGCACAGGTAGTGGACGGTGATCTGTGAACCAGGAAGTGGGTTCTCCCTAGACGCTGACTCTCCCAGCTTTGGTCCTGGACTTCCCAGCGTCCAGAACCATGAGAAAGAAATGTTTGTTGTTTAAGCATGCAGTCCATGGTATTTTTTATCACAGCATCCAAAACCCAGGTGTGCAAATATCTCTTTGAGACCCTTCTTTTAATTCTTTTGGATATACACCCAGAAAAGGGACTGCTGGATCATATGGTAGGGTTGTTTTTAAATTTTGAAGGAACTACTGTACTGTTTTCCATAGCACTTGCACCTTTTACAATTACGTTGTTTATATTTTAAAGTAAAACGGCTCTTGGGAAATAGTTTATAGTGTCATTGAAGTGCAAGATACGAATAGTTAAATAATAAAGTGTCGCGGTTCATCTGCCCTTCCTTGTACCAGGACTGAAGGAACTGTTTTCTTCTGCCCCGCCTCATTTCTTACTCTGATCCAATGGAGAGGATTGCTGCCAAATAAATGAACCAATAAATAACTTAATTTCTAATGTAAATTGCAACATCCAGCCTTGATAATCTTTCCTTCTGAGCTTACATGAGAAAAGAACATCTTTGGGTTGTTGCAGTGGCATGGGGTTAACGTCTGGGCAGTGTGGTGCCTGATTGACTTTCTAGTTTGTGGTATATTGTCAGGACTTCTGTGAGGCCTCCCTACTTCTACACCTCACTACTGCCCAAATGTATACCTTTCCCTCTGGCTTTATGATGTTTAAAATTTCGCATTCAGGAACTAATGTGCTCGTTGTCCTTTCTTGAGAGCAGGCTTTTCCTATTGGGAAGGCAAAGAGAATCACTAGTAGGGGACAGGCCAGAAAGAAATTGATTCCACTATGGAGATGGACAACGGTCTGGGGATGTGAGGATGTTGTTTGGAGAACATTCCAGATACCGGGCACCGAATACCAAGCAGGAAGGATACAGTAGAAGGCAATCTGGTGATGGTTGATATGGCTGAGGGTCTCCCACAAGGTCATGGCCACGGGGAAGTGTCACCTGGGACTGAAGTCATCTCAAGGCTTGACTAGAGGAGAATGTACTTTCCACTCACCCAGGTGGCAGGCCTAAGAAGGGTCATCTCCAAACCCACTTTCAAGAGCTGGCAGGCCACAGATCCTCCCCGGTCAGGGACACCAGTTTCTTGCCACATGGGTTCCTCCACATCACAGCTCCCAACCTGGCACCTGGCCTCTCTCTGAACAAGCGGGAGAGTGAGATAAAGTGCTCAATATGGAAGTTGCTGTATTTTTGTTACCTAATATTGGAAGTGACATCTCATCACTTTTTCTATGTTCTATTCATTAAAACAAGTCACTGGGTCCTACCCACACTTCAGGCTAGGGGATTATACAAGGGTATGACTACCAGGAGGTGGTGGTAATTTATAGCTGCCTACTACACCTTTTGAGAAAGCTCAAAGAACACCTTAGGGCTAAGAGACAGCACCAGAGAAGGGGAGACATTTATAAAGGAGGATCCCTCCCCATGGCTGAGGGTGTGGTTGTGGCCCACTGGGTGGTGAAGAAGTTCACTGGGTTGCTCTGGACTGGGAGTTGATCCACAGTTGCTGGCTGAGTTTAGTTAGCAGGAAGAATCCTGCAGGGAAGATGGTAGGCTGAGAACAGCAAGCAGGGACACATTGGATGGGACGGGTGAGCAGAAAGCCTTGGGCCAAGATTGGTGAACAGGAACCATTTGCTGGCATTTCAGCAAAACTTTCCCGTGGATGGGAGCCCCTGGTGTCCTGCACGCATGCTGCTGGCATATAACATGAAGCTGAGTTTCAGTCCATGTGAAAGCTTATTTACCTCCGACTCTTACTCTTAAGAGGCAATACCTCTGAGTTGCAACCCCAAATGGCTCCCACTTATGGTATGACCTGGACTCCAACTTTTGTCTTTGTGCCTCTGCAAGGCTGGAAAGAAGCTGTCTCTTCCTGCAACTGAATTGGTAAATGCCTGGGGGAAGCAAAAGCAGCCTCAAAATGACAGGCTCGCATTTCTGGTTTTCCCATTTCTCTGGGAACTTGGCCCAGTAATTCATTACTTTGTTAAATTTTTGATGGCTTCAAGCTAGTTAAAATATACACACATACAGACACACATATGTGTATATAAGATATCTGTCCATTTCTCATCTTCAACAGGAAGGTTATTCTTAATTGCCTAGTTCTCTATTTCTGGTGGTAGAAGCCAGAGATTCAAGCATCATTGTGGGAGCATTGAGCCCTCAGGTCCTTGGTCTGGGAATCTGAGTAAGTTCAGAGATTTTCAAGTTGAGGCGGGTTGAGGGTTCGACTCTTGAACTATATTGTTGGACACAGAACTTGCTCTGGATTGGTGTAGGAACTGAGCAGGTCTGGAATTGCACAAGAAGGGTATGAACATACCCATCTGGGGTGTGTGAGGATTGGGGAAGTCTGTGTCTAGAAACTAGGTCAAGGGCTAACAAGGGTGGGAGTGCTCAAGACAAATTTAAGACAAATTTACCCTTTTCAACAATTTGGTAAGAGACTAACCCTGGAATTTAGGTGATTTGACAATAAGGAACTTCATAGAAATGTTTTCATGATGTTTTTCCAATTCCAAGGTAGTTTAAAAAGTAGGTGAATGACCATTATCCCTGGGATTCTTTGGATAAAATTTATCCTGAGTTAGAGCTATAACATCTTTAGATTGTCACAGTTTCTTTTCTTCTACATTTATTCATCCATCCATCCATCCATCCATCATCCAACCACCTAGATATTCACAAAGAATAATCCATATCTTGTAAGGTAGTCAATTATTTGTAGAAAAAGGTTATTATTACAGTTATATTTAATCTTTTATATGCAAGCAAGAAGGCAAGCAATTAATCTTTTACCTTACAAAAATTTGGGGGGTAGATAAGATACCATTTTTATTACAGATACATATATGTGTGGATTTAATATTTTATATGACTATAATATATTATCACATTTTCAAAGCTGTAATGTTAACCACTACCTAATGTCAAGAACCAAGTGACCTGATCTTTGGTGGTCCTCCTTTACCACAAAGAAATATTCTAAGGAAATAGTTCATCCCTTTTGTTTACCACAGGGTGGTGTCGGTATTGTTACCAAATATTTTATATATTTTTTTTCATGACAGTGTTTTTTTGGTGTAAAATTAGCTAGGGTACATGATATTTTAAGGAGCTTTGTTTCCAAGAGGAATGTCTTTTCCTGAAAATGTTTACCACTGGAGGCATCAACAAAGTGTTTGGCTTAAAATTAGCTCCCAAAATACATATTTAAGTTATCCAATCTGAAATATATAAAGGCAAGTGGAATTGCCTGAAAAACAAAAAGGACCCTTTTCCCTTGGAATTCCAGACATAATTTAGCTTCTCGAAAGTCAAGGGAAGATCAAGTCTGAGAACTAAACGATCCCTACCTTTACGCTAGGGAAAAGCTGAATTTTCTCAAAGGATCAGAAGCAAAGGCAAAATGTCATTGTCTTGGTAGCATTTTCACCAAATTACTTCAGAAAAACTTCTTAAATATTTCTTAAAATATTTCTAATGCTTAATTTAACAACAATCATCTTCTAACCTTCAACTATTAAATTGATTTCTTTAAGTATCATATTTACTCAGAGCCCAGGCCATTAGCCAAAGATCCAAAGCAATAATGACTGAAGCTTTTTCAGTTGTCTTCAAAAGTGTAACAGGTTTAAATTTTAGGTGAAGACATTGATGAAGGTCAAAAGGTGAGTGATTCATTTCCTGTACTTGTCAGGATGCTGCTTGTTACAACAGATTTCTGGAAGTGACTGGCAATGGAAATAATCATGCAAAGGGATTGTTTGTTTTGCATGAGCAAATATAACAGGCCTAATACCATGAATTGTTTTGATTATTTAGAAATCCTCAGAGCATATGAGTGAGGCGATGAAAATATACAGGACTTCATCTTCCTGAATAGTCACAAATATGATGTAGGGGAAAAAGGCTAAGATAAATATCTAAGATCTGGTCATGGTAGATGTACCTTTCATCTATACATATGTGTGAATACTCTGATATTTAGTGATGTTCCATTGGCTTTGGCTTGGTCATATAAAATAGCTTCTGTTCTCTTTAGGCAGCCTTTATTTTTTTAAAAAAGTACATTATAAGGCTGTTCCTTCTATGGCTTATTTGCTATCATTTTTTGGCCGAGACCTATCTAGGTATCTTAGAACAATGAGATACCAACTCTCTTAGTTCCTATGCAAGCTGGATGTTTCTCAGTGACTTGAAGATGGATTTGTACATGGCAGGCAAATTTTCCAATACCTTCTTGATAAGAACCTTCCTTTTAAACCTCTAGACTAGAAAAGGGGGAGATTCATGTCCTCTTATAAGGGAGGTAGCCTGGAAAAGAGAAGAGAGCATGGACCTTGGCAACTCTGAAT